CGCGCCGCGCCCATTGTTCCCTCTCGCTGCAGGGCCGATGGGCGTTGCTCCCCGGCCAGTGCGGCGCTGGGAGGCTCAGGGGTCCTGGGCGTCGCGTAAACCTCCGAGCGTTCTCCAAGGCGCCAACTTGGGAGCGAAGTTGCCTAGTTGTTTCTGACCCACCTTTCCCAAGTCGGTAAATAAAGATCCTGGAAAGTTTATTGATTGGGAGGAAGATGTCTGAGCATCCGCATCCTCCCTAGAATTACCAGATGCATGTGTTGCTTTTAGTTAGATTGATAGGGGATTTTTTTGGTTTGTTTTTGAGGGGCATTGTGTATTCCATTGGAAATAATAATTTCTGAATCGGTTAACACTGCAAATGTTTGCTCTAACGAATGAGAGCAAATAAGAAAGTTGGTGACTGGAAGATGAGTACAATCAGAAGAAATTTTTTTTTTTTGAGCGTTCCTTTAGGAAAGAAATGTTATCTTCGTGATGCGGTTACCACTATTGTTTCAGTGGTTAAGACTTCAAGAATTTTTTTTTCATCGTCTACAGTGACAAAGGATTGGGAAGAAGGACTGAAAAGATACGTGGTTTCCTTTTACAAAACCAGACTATTTATGAGCCTCACTTCAGGAAAACTCAGTATGTGAAAAAGTGGATGTTCAAAGTAGTCATTTTATCAAAGCAGCAGGTACAGTGATAGCTAACTAGTTGGTAGCTAGAAGGATACTCTTAGTAAGTTACTCACAATATCGTATTTCCAGTTAAATTTTATGTCACCTGATCAGGCTCATCACATACCTAGGATGACTGTTGATGTAAATACGCTCCAACTGAATTAATCTCCTGGAATCAGAGTTAGTTTTTATTTCTTCTTTCTCCGAAAAATCCTCCTGTTTTTCAATATCTTCTGTCTACTGTGCATTATTTAGTGGAAGCATTTTATTTTAAATAAAGTCCTTTTAAAGGACTTTCTGGTACAAAAGTTAAAAATTAAGTTGAGGCTCTAACCGTACTTGGTATTTTCTTTTGAAGAAATTGTTGTAGCGCATTAGCAACTATTGTAGCTAAAATATACTTTAGCAGTGAGGTGTCCTGAAGATTTCTGTGTACAACAATTTCTAATTAAGTTAATTTTCCTTCCTAAGACATTTTTTTTTCTTTTGTCTTTTTGAGACAGGATTTCACTATGCAGTTCAGGCTGGCCTTGAACTCACTTTGTAGCCAGGCTTGCCTCGAACTCACAGTGACCCTCCTGCCTCAGCCTCCTGAGTGCTAGGATTATAGGCCTAAAGACATTTTTCACAGTTTGTATTCAAAAGTAAGATTTACAAGTCAAGCACTTTTAGAATACTGACATTCCTGATGAATAAAAGAGCTGAATTGGGTCTGATAATGTTCTTTTAAAAGGATTCCTATGTTGTTTTTTGCCGCCTAGGTGGAGGTGAGGTAAGGATTCACGTGGAATTTGACCTCCAGAAGATAGTACAGTAGAAACTCCCCTTCCTCACAGGAAATAGTGTGTTTTAATTCTAAGGTCCACTTGTGGGAAAATAGAATTCAGTTTACAAAATTCACTCACAGTGTGAACATTTCTGTATTGTAAAGCACATTACCCTTGTGAACAGAAGCTGTTTTTTAGGTACTGATAAGAGTAGTAACTGTTTTAAGTGTGGTTGAAGATGAGTCATCAGAACGTCTGTTAAAAATGTAGGTGCTTTGTCCAAAGACTGGGGAATGGGACTTTGCAAGAATCACCTCTTGTGATTCTTAGGCACACTCAGATTCGAGAGCCATTGAATTAATTATAAATATTAGGAGATTGGTTCAAACTTGCCCAATTCTGAATAGCTTTTGTAAATGTGAAAAGAAGTTAGGGTTAGAAGAACTGGATTTTATTTTAGGTTTTCTTACCACTTAACTAGTTGGTCTTAGTCAGAAGCACCTGTGTTCCTTTATATTCACTCTTTTTTATTTAGTTGTTTGAAGCAGGGTCTCCTAGTGTATCCAGGGTGGCCTCGAACTTGCCATCCCCCTGCCTCAGCCTCACGAATGCTGGGATTGTAGGCATGCACTATTATGCCCAGCTTATATTTATTCTTAATGAGCAACGCAGAACAAAGGGAGCAGTGAGATGATAAAGTTGTGTGAGATGTTGATAAGAAGATCAAGACGAGAAAAGAGATGAATGTGCTATCAGTCCCAAGTCAGCGCAGCCCTTCCCACCTTCAGCTCATCTGCAGTAACCAGTGCTGGGTTCTCTTGTGTGTCGTGGTAGTTGAGGCAGAGCCTTACTTTGTGTTTTGCCTTTCCATCCAGGCTTTCTGTAAATGTAAGGAATGAACACTTTAGAGGAAGTCACTGAAAGTGAGCTTTACAAAGCAAGAGCCTCTAAAGTTACCTAATTCATACACACCTAATAGTTCTTCTTTCTTAAATACAAGAACTCAGTCAAGTGCTTGTTAAGCTGAGGCCCTCACTACTAATCACCTTTGCTGTTTAAAATAATACTTTTGCTGCGGGATATCTTGTTCTGTGATGGAAGAACCACTCTCATGATTTCATAGCCTCACTTGGGCATTGAAGGATGTGCGTCTTGGTACAGGGTTGAAGGCCTGGCTCATGCTTAGCGAGTAGCGCTCTAGCCAGAGCCACTCCTCAGCCTTGAAAATGTGTGCCTTTGAAAGTTCAAGGGTTTCCAACTATTTTTCTTTGTCTTTAAATGATGCTGTATCTCAGTATGACCGTGATATAGTTTGGAAAGTCCCCATATCTAAGAAGTTATCTAAATGTGGTTCCAGCTCCCCTCCCTTGGCTGATTTGCACTGTAGACTCCACCTCTGGCAGCGTGCAGGAGGCGGGGCTGAGCACTTAAAGTGGAGCTGCGCTCTGCAGTTCTGTCCAGTTCCAGGCAGTGTTCACTCACGGCTACAGGGCTCCTCCTGGGCGTTACCTGCTTCTCGGGGCACGGGAGTACTGAAGATGGCCAGCCGCAGACACGTTGTTTGGGCTCGAAAGAGCAGTAAGTCAGGCAAGTTCTAGTTCTAGATTGCGCGTTGAGTACCAAACCACCAAACAGTAAGTACCTGGACAAGATTTTCACCCCAGAATGCATTTTGTACTGTACCCAGTTTCAGGAGTTTCAGAGCAGTCAGTCGAGTACCAAGGCATCATTAATTCCATGTGCTTAGCAGCACCTAATTCTGAGGTAGGATAGAAGAAATAAAGGTGGATAGAAAGGAGGTAAAACGGTATTTTTAAGAAAAAATGCAGCTTTAGGACACAAATCTGTCACCAGACAGGGCCTGAGATTCCTGAAACTGATGTAAGGAACATTACCTATCCTCCCTATAAAATAAGTTTGCAGATTCAGTGATGTATGTCTTGGAAAAAAGATTTTTCAGGACTAGTCAGTAAGGCACAGAAAGGGTTATATTAGGTGGAAATTAAAGGAAAAAGTACTAGAGAGAGAGAGAACACACACAGATACATAGACACTTCTTTTCTGGAAATAGGAAAAAGGTGGGCTGCCCCCTGCAAAACGGTACCAGCCCATTTTACAGATATGGCCCAATATTTTTAAATACAGGTAATTTAAATATTCTTTGGATTTCCTTAGCCTATTACTTTCTCTTGGGATTTCTTTTCTTTCTCAATTAAGACACTATGGACTCACAGTATTCTGAGGAGTTTTGGATGTGACAGGTCTGGAAGGACGAGCTAAGTCCAACCAAGGAAATGTTGCTGTGGGTCACCTGGGGTAACTACTACTGAGTTCTGAGAGTTGCAGTCTTCTTCTTAAGAGTTTACTTGTCTCCTTTTTCTTATCTCTGTTTTTTCTACCCTGCCTCAAACCCACTAAAATTCTAAAGCCCTTAAATACATGTAAGCCTGGCCCTGCGTTTTCACCTGTAAGTGGGCCCTGACCATTCTTTCTTGCATGTAGGGTTTTTCCACCCTCGAACTGGCCATTCCTTTTCTCCGGAAAAAAGGGGCCTTTCCTTTTCAGGCGGAATGTGCTCTGTTGCTTATGATGGTTGTCACCTGGGATAAGTGGGCACCCTTCCCCTTCGGAAAGGGCCTCCACCTTTTACCTATAAGTCAGATCATCTCTTTCCACAGGTTCACCAGTTCCCGGGTTTCCACCCTCAACGCCCCATAAATATATCCCGTTCTAGGCCACAAGGCACGCCTCTCCCTCCTGGGCCTGCGCTTTCTTTTGAGTTTGTACTTTTAGAATTCTGCCGCATAAACCTCTCTATGCCTTTTACTGACTTGTCCTGAAAACTCTTTACGGAAGTCAGTGAATCTGCAACGTGCCCCATGGGTGGGGAGAGTCCAGGCTTCCATCCGCACTTTGGGGGACTCCCTTTTGGGCCCTGTACTGTGACAACTCCATGGAGGCTTTGTCATAACTTCCCCTGTAGGGAAGCACAGGGTAATTGCATGAGGAAGCCTGGTAATCACTGGATAGCAGGAAAGCCTGAGATCACTTCTTGGCTGGCTATCTCAGAAGGCCCTGTTGGCCACATCAGTAGAGCACTAGCTGGTCTCCCTAACTTGTGAAATTGCCTAGGCTGGGCTCCAATTGGTGCTTCACCAGAGTGCTGGGATTACAGGTTTGTAGCACCACACCTGGCAGTGGGTCACATGTCGTAAAGTACTTGGGATTTTACTGTAATTTCTTACCAACTTTCCTTAGGCACTGCTGCCACAGAAGTCTTTTCATTATCTTACTTTATCACTGCCCTGACACACATACCTGTAGTCATCTTTGTAGAGATCCTTTGGAAGAGTTAAAATGGCAATAGCATGTTTTGTGATGTAGCTAGAAAATTTTCTGATATCCTGTTTGACTTTCCTGAGATTAAAATTTGTTTTCAAAAAGACAGGTCCACTGAACATTTTCTCTATGAATTGACCAATAGCTTATTTTAAAGAAAACTCCAACTTGAGTACACTTTAGCTGACGTTTTTATTTTTCATGTGTGCCAAAGACTAGAGAAGGTGGCCCAGTGGTGAGAGCTTTTCTGCCTGTCTCAGAATGTTTTATCTTTTCAGCTGTCATCAAAATCATTATTCTTAAATTCCTATCTGCCTTACTTCTCTTAGTGATGTCAAAAACTTAAACTTTCAGCTTTAGAAAGTTGTCTTTAATGTGTGGATCTTTGGTTCTGTGTAACAGAGAAAAGAATTATAGTTGTTATAGTTCTGGAAGTCGCCCTCTGTGTACAGCATGTGGGGGAATATTAGTGATGAATTCTTTTGAGTCACATCTGCCTCTGTACGTTACCACCCTATATGTAGTTTAATCTCTGAAGGTAGAAGATAGTGATATGAATAATTATAAAAATTTGACATATTTGTTAAGAGTTTTAGGTAAAACTAGATCAGTTTTTTTGTCAACCTTAAAAAAAAAAAAACAAAAAAACCCTGGATCCCCTAGCCTTTTAGACATTTTTCCAACTTGTTTTCAAAATAAAAAAAATGTATTTTATACTGTGTATCTTTTTATAGAGTATGTGTATCTGCTTTATACATAACAAAAGTAAGGGTTTTTTGACCTCCAAAGCCACCATTTTTTAGATGAATTTAAAGCCATCATAAGAGAATTAGGCAGAGAAGTGCTGTTTTGTCATGCTTTGTATGTCTTTATAACAGTTTTAAAGGAATGACATTAGTAAAAGAAGTTATACTTTTTTATCAGATTGGTTTAACCTAGAAATTAACAATTTACTGTCCTATGAAGTGCAGCTGTAACAAAGGGGACCTTGACAGTTAAGGAGGGTGTAGCTTTTTTCAAAGTCTGATAACATCCTTGCTTTGAATAGTGAGTGTTTTCTCAATTTTTTTTTTTTTCCGGTCTTCTCAATCTGATATGAAGTGTCAATAACAGGGTCTTTAGAAAACTTGAATTTGGAATGTGTAAACTAAGTGAAACCGTTGAACTTTCTATAAAAACCCAATTCAAAACAAATCTGTTCCTCTAATCATATTTCCAGCCATAAGTCAGTCTTATGCAGAGAATGATTTCTGTAGTCTCAAATATCCTTAAGAAACAAGATAGAAAGAAATTGAGAAACAGAATATTTCAGTGTTTTACATTGAAAGTCACATGAATAGAAAAACATGCCTGACATTTATAAATGTATATTCCTAGCTTGGCTCCTTATTTTTGTAAGAGTGAATACTTTGTGAATATACTAAGAACCTCTGCGTTGTACACTTTAAAAGGGTGAGTTTTGTAGTATGTAAAATATGTGGCCAGGGATATAGCTCAGTGGCTCAAGCACCTGCCTGGCAAGCACAAGGTCCTGAGTTTGATTCCCAGTACCAAAAATAAAAGTATGCTTTAAGCTGTGATTAGTTAAATGAGCCAAAAAAGAAAAAAGAAAAAAAAAAAGTTTACTTAGAAAGGAAGTTAGTTCTTTTAATCTGGAAAGAAAAAAAAAACAAAACAGAAAATGCTTTAGGTTTTTTCCTTTCATTCCCCCGCACCCCCAAAACCAGAATAAATAAAAATAATTGGTGGGTAAAACTGCCATTTTTCCCCAAGTGGATGTGTTAAAGTGAGAAAGCAAGTGGTTCTTGGGAGAAGGGAAGATGGCTTGGGCCAGGACTGTTGCCAGTTGTCCAATGATGCGCTTGGAGCCTCACTGTTTCCCAACCAGCCACACTGGAAGTTCTTTTCCCTTTTCTACTCTGTCCGCTCTGACTTTTTACCTTTGGATTTGACTGGCTGAATATAGTTCATGGTGTGAGGCAAGCTGAGAAAGAATAGGGTCCAAGAAACCCATCTCTACTTGAATGGTTTTTATGACCGCAAACATGATACTTCAAAAGCTAAATGGTCCTGTGGGCTCTTTAAATTGCTAATCCTTCCTCATTGTCCCATTTCTACCATTAGGACATCTCTTCAGTCCTGTACAGCCTGTCCTTTCTGTAGCATACTTTTTATGTAGAACTTTGTCATTGCTTCCTAGCTCCTTAATGACTGTGAAATTTGGTAGCAATAACTAGGTTTTGAAGTAGCTGGGTAGGGCAGACAACAGGTGAGTGCCGGAGATGTCCCTGTGACATGCTTGACTGAAATTTTTTCCTCTGCAGACCTTCCCCACTAAATGAGTTTTACAACATTGTATTAAAGTTAAAATAAGATTTTCAGCGTGTTACCTATGAGGAATATCAAGCTAAATATAGGAACAAATTCTTATGTAGCATGAAAGATACAATTTATGGATAGATTTTTTTTTAAAGAGAAAAGAGAACAAAACAACACAGAGACAATAAAAATGATACAAAATTTTTCAAAACAAGATTGGAATTAACAGTGGTTGTTACATATTGTTATCTTCAATGAAGTTGCTCAGATTACCAGATGTAAGAATGCAAGATTGATCAAACAATTAAATAAAATTTTAAAAAAATTTAAAAAACATTAAAAACAATACAGAGTTTCACTAATCAAGATGGTAGGAATTCAACAATGGTTGTTATATTGCATATTGTTGTCTTCAAATTAGTTCTTCATATTACCAGATATAAGCATGCAAAATTGGTCAAAAGAAAAGATTGAAGCATTAACTGTTCCTTTCAATAAACCAACAGACATCAGCAGTTCAGTTATCCCAACTTGGATAGAAGATCTTAAAATGATAAGACATAGGGAAAGCATTTTGATTGAGGGAGTTATACTGTGAGAGAAAAGGAAGCAGTTTTAAAAGATTGGGGTCATGTGTGTCTATAGTCCCATCTACTTGGGAGGCTGAGGCAGAAGGATCATGTAAGCCCAGAATTCAAGTTCAGCCAGGCCACATAGTGAGACCTGCCACAGAAAAATATAGTAGCAGAAGTTTTATTTAGAGTGTAGGGCATTACTAAGAAGGGTTTGTGAGGAGGTGGTGTAATAAAATTGTACTGAAAAAGTACAGGATGCTTTGGAGTTGGTGGAACGGATAGATGATACTATTAAGTGAGAGAAGGAAGCAAGCATGAGTGGTGCTGTTTAATAATTTTGCTGAG